ACATTTATCCAGTATATATATGGATGAAAATCACGTGTGCATTATAATTTGCGAACAAATTCTGGGACAAGCACCCCATCAGATGAACTTTTAAGGCAAGTTCTATCCCATCTTGAGGAGAGATTCCACTGGTGCCAGTACTAATAGCCTAATCAAGTTCTTCAATCAAATCATTGTAAGGGGTATCAACTTTATCTTTTGGCTCAGAAGGAAGAATTTTTTGCCTGTTGTTTATTATAGCATAGTTTTCTGCAGGGGAATGTGGACCATCTGGAGAATGTCTCAGTGCTTTTCTTTGGATATTTAATCTGTCAGCATCATTGCATCCTTCATGTACTATGCAAGCATGATCTGCGCCAATTTTTCATAAATCGCCTGGCTTAAGATTATATTTTTTCAGAAATTTATTTAACCATTTAACACCTACAATACTGGGATCACGTAAATGACCATTTTTTATCGCTGTTTGAATCCAGATAAGTAGTTGGCAAGCGCTTTCTGGATCTTTTTCCATCGAAAGAAATTCCCGAGGATGGTTTTTATGATTTTTAGCATAACTGGTTGCATACCAATTACATCCAGGAACCCACCATTCAGGAAGAGAATCGGAGATGAGTCCTTGACTCGAAGCTTTGTTTCCTCGATGCACTGCATCATCATTTGGTGATTCGAAATAAGAAATTCAGAGAGTTGTTACTTCAGCTGGCCTCATACAGAGCATTACCATTACATCTGCAAGAGCTTGAATGTCGGGCGATTTAGCAGTATCATAGCTTTGGAGTCTTGCATTTATAGATTCTAAACTAAAATGTTCGGAAGGGGAAATTCCAATTCTTGCACGAAGCTTGCGATTTTCAGATTGTTTCCTGTTTGACTCCCGAGTGATACCATCAGTGTCTTGTAAAGCATCGATTACCTTTTCAGAAGCCCCTTTTTCACGCAGACCATGCCGAATACGTTTGAGTTCTGAATCAATTGCAATAACATTCTCTGGTGTTGCATATGTACTCTCAAGAAAAATTATAGTAGACGCTTCGCCAATTGGATCAGTAGATTCCATAATTTTTTGAACTTTATTTTTTACAGTATCTGGCTTGCTCTGTTTTCTTTGATCTGGCAGGAGTGCTGATATTTGTTCTGGGCTAAACTTAAGATCTCGGAGACAGGTTCTTGCATTTTTACGAATGCGCCAGTCAGGAATTTTAGTGCGGAATTCATTGGCATAGGCACTTAGCTGAGACGGCTCCATCTGAGGAGTTAATCTATATTTTTTTACGATTTCACTTGTGATGGCAGACATTTTAATAGTAGGTATAACTGGTGGGTATGAATAGTAGAAGTAACTATGACTATGTATGAAATATATTCTTTCAAATTGAAATTAATTACCCACCCCTTCGATAATGCTTCACGGAGTACACAATGCTCTAGATCTCAGGAGATATGACTGCCCAAATGAGAGATCCAAGTAGACATTCAGTTAAGTGGTCTTCGCATTTTTGAATGTTTATCCGATTTACCTGTAATAAATATTGAAAGGAAAGTTTAACACATAATAATATCAAAATTACCTCATATGGAACATCGTCTATCCTGCCAATATATCAAGAGTGATGGAACGATCTGTGGGAAAGGATGCTGGCGTAGCACAGGTTGCTCTAGACATTTCAGATCACGTCCCAAAAAATTGTGCCCTATTTGTAATGAGCTAACCAATTCTCATATCGGAATATGTAGGATTCATGATGAAATTTACAAGCATGTCTGGCATGAAAGTAAAAAAACTGGCCATGCCTGCTTCGCTGATATTTGTCTCAATGCAGAGTGCCCCAATCCAATCAATGGACAAAGCTAAACATTATTTTTCGATTTAGATTTTTCAAATACTTAATATAGGACAACAAAAAAATCTGAACAGTGATAGGCAAAATCACATATCTTATAAGTCAATAGATATTTTTTCCATACGAATTTTTTTACAACATAATCTGGTTCTGCAATATAATCGGAATTGGAATTGGAGCTTGATTCTCTTCGATAACGGGATCATCTATTACATCGAAGAGTTCCTGGACCTCGTCAGCTGTCTTTGACTTATATGGCAGAAGCATTGGTGCACCTTTATCTCCAAAACCAATACCCTTATATGGTCGGCGGTTAATTTGGTATGAATATTCCCAAACTCGCTGTTCCTTATGTCCTATTTTTTTTCGTTTACTTTTTATGGTATACCCACAATAATTACCAACAATTGCATTAATTGCTTTTATAGCTGACTTAAGATCTGGTGCTTCTTTTGCACGAGACTTAAAGCCAAAGAGCAATAAAGATTGATTTCGGATTTCTACGAACCTTTCACAAGATTGCATGAACCTTTCTGATACAGTATTACCAGAGAGGATACGCTTGTCATCTATACCAGTAAAACCTAATGTTTGAAAAAGTCCTCTTACAGCTTTCCAATGATTCGCTGAATATGATTTATGCAAATCCTCCGCCACTGATTTTTCAAAATTTTCTTCGGCTTTATAATAGGTATCTTTCCATTGCTCAATGTCTTTATTCTTCAAGCTTTCTATTGCACTCTCTTCATCGTAACCCTGCCTTTGGAATTGAGACAGTCGCAAGAAATGCTTTCGAGGTTCAGGTGGACCAAAGCGTCCTAGAAATTCATTATCACAAAGATTGTTCCAAGCTTCAATGCTCATATCATTTCCACCATAAAGATTCCACATATAAAAACGCTTAAGTGCCATAGTATCTGTGACGGAACGTTCCTGATCAAGCTTAAGGAATTCGGCTTCTTCAGGGGTGAGATTCCGGGAAGTAGCAACTGCTTCAAAATCGGTATTCTTGATAACTAAAGCTTCAGCCTTAATCTCATTACGAACTTTTTTACGATTTCCTATAACTCCTTGGCTCTCATCCATTTTTGTTAGTTGGAGATTCGCACCTGTACTGGCTATGAGACTACAAAGATTCTCAATAAAATTTCTTGCGGAAAGGCGTTTCTGATGCTCAACCTCAATAAATGTCATCACAGCTGGAGATTCATCAAGTTTGTAAGAAACAACATTACTATCCCACTCACGGTGTCCCTTGATTGCTGTGGGTAATTCATTAGGCCGAGCACTTGCAAGTTCTGCTCGAATATTTTCATGACCTGGTGGACGAAAAAGCTCATTAGAATTTTTTTGATAGAACACAGAAACAATGCGTCGAGGACAATCACGAATTCGATAAAGCATTTGTGCAAGTGCTTCAACATGAACTGGAGTTGCAATATTTGAAATAGCTATAACTATATCAAAATGACCTGTAACCTCAAAAGATATGCCCGCCTCCACCGTATTTGTATATGCTACACAGTCAAGTTCACTCCAAGCAGTATTAATATCGGAAAAATCTTTTTGTCGTTGTTTCCCATCCATATCTCCATAATAGGCGCAAGCTTTAAAAGATAATTTAGAAGCCTTTTTTACTAATCCTCGAGCCATGTTAGAGCTTGTTACAACAAATGCCACGCATTTACCTTGCTTCAAAAACTCAAACCCTATTCGCATAGCTTCAGCTCCATTATTTGGATCAGGAAGATATTCAATAGTCTTACCTATAAGGGGCTGAAATTTATTATCTATTACTCGGATATTTTCACCGCGATAAGCTTTGAGAAAGGCCAATGCTGACTTGTTTCCGAACGCATCCATGGCTAAAACGTGAACAGCAGACTTCAACAAATCTCGCATTGCATTCTCAGATTCTCTTGCATTTGCACCACTATTCATTTGGCGTTGAATTGCATTGACTTCATCTAAAATAGCCACAATTGGACGGGCTGAAAATTCGACACGAGAAAGGCTTTCAACTTGGACTATAATAACATCCCATTTATCTATAGATAAGTTCTGTTCGTCTTGATAATTACAGATTTTGAACCCTATTATATGGCATATAGAAAATATCTGGTGTGATGGGAATAAAGTTCTTTCTACATACGCTCTCAAATGGTTAGCATT